CCCCCCCGCCCCCCCCGGAAGAGGTGTGAGGTGTTACCTTTGATTTTGTTTGGAGGAAGGCAAGCGTTGTTGTTTCGGGGAGCGTAAGGCGTTGCGAAGTTGTTATGAGAAGATGAGTAGATCTGTTCGATAGGTTGAAAGAGATGGTCAAGCCATGCCTTATATATCCATCCGTCGTGCTCAGTTCGCATGCAGTCTCGTATATAGAATCTACTAAGCAACAACCACTAGTTCGTGTAAACTCTAATAGCGGCCTCCATACGGTGTACGTCCGTCTCACCGGTTGAGCACAACACCACCGCGACAGTGCACGACGAACTATTCGCCAATAGGCATAATAAGAGGACAGAGTAGGGCCTCATTCCAAGAGTTTATATTGTACCTCACAAGGAGACGAGGTGTAAGCATACCTCTGCCAGTCCCAACTAAGACGAACTAGAATCCGGCGGCATCTCCGGGCTTACATTACACCCGGTGAGGCCGGCTTCAACTCTTCCAAACTCCTTCCTTCATGCCGTGGCAAGAGAGAATGCGCATTCGGTTCAGACCGCTTCTTGATATCGTATCGTGGTCGACAAGGTATGTTGTGCACGATGTAGAGATCGAGGTAGACGCTCGGGGTACACTATGTTCTTAGCGTAAGCAACGGCGTGTGTTCGTCTGAGGTCTAATCTGACCGCCGCAAGGCTGTCTTACACCGCTGCACCATGCAACCAAGAAGGACCGCAAGCACAGTAAATGGGATCTAGATTGCCTACGAAAGCGGCACAGGGAGGTGCGCGACAGCCCAGCCAAAGCGGCGCAAGGTCTTTGCACCGAACGCCTTCAATCGAGTGTCAACCGCAAGTGCGCTTTGCGTCAGCTACCTCTTCGTAACTCAATCCTACTACACGCCAGCAGCCAAACACCCAAACCATCACCCTACCTAGGCGTAGCAGGCGGCGTCACAATCCCACCTCCACCTCCACCTCCACCTCCACCTCTACCCCCAACCAACCCACCCCCCTCACCCATCTCACACAGCGCCACATGAAAAGCCCTCAACACATTCTTATTCTCCGAGAACTCCTCCCACGCACTCTCATCCTCCAGTATAGCCGGCATGCGCAACCCCACACACTCAATGATAGCCTTGCGCAGTCCGCGATCGTTCTCAGGACACTGTTCGTGGTAGATGCATGTGGCGAGGTCGACGATCATAAGCGGGTCTGTGATGAAGGGGAGGCGGTCGATGATGGCTTCGGCGGCGCGGCGCTTGATGGGGTTGAGGTTGTACTGTGTGGGTGGTTAGTTTGACAGTTTGAAGATGAAGGATAGGGGAGGGGAGAGGGGAAGAGCAGGTACCTTATCCGCAGCGATAAACAGATCCAAAAGCTGATTCATCATAAGCTCCTTCTCAATCTCCATCCTCAGCGCAAAGTTCGTGAAGATGGAACCAGTAGTCGGGTTATAGACACCGTACATCTCATCCAGAAGCGTGGATACGACTTGTGCTGACTCTGGTAGCTCAATGGATTGTTTTGCGGTCTCGGAGAAGCCGCCGCTGCATACGGCTCTGAAGTAGTATGACTCTTTGCAAAGCTTGACGCGATGGACGCGGAATTGACTGCCACCCGCGTAAATGGTGAAGTCTGACCACTCGCCTGTCTTCCGGAGGCGAGGCCACTCGGAAGAGTCAGCGGGGACGGCGATCCAAGGTTGTGGAGCGCGGCTTGTGAAACCTTGCTGTTCCATGTCGAAGTCGGGTTTGACGAAGGCGACTTTCCTATCATCAACATCAGTTCCAGTCACAGCATCGAACACGAGATGACACATACTGTGGGACTTCATAGCTATAGAAGAAATGATTCCCAGCTGCCGTCGCGATATCCTCCAGCACATCCAAAAACCCTCTCGCTCGATCCGTTGACGCAAACTCCAGATCGACTTGAAGGTGCTGGAACAGGATCGAAACTTTCTTGCTCTTGTCTCGCCAGGCTGCTGCACGTGCGGTTTTGGCTTGGAAGTAGATTGGCTCGTTGGTTTCTGGGAAGCGGAGGACGAACGCGATGCTAGCAGACGTGTATGCGACGAAGCCAAACTCAGCGTTGGCACGATCGAGGAAGAGGGTTGTATGGCCAGTGGTCTTCTGCTCCTTGCCAATGGTGAAGGAACGGAGCATCCAGAAAACTGACTTGGAGTCTTCGGCGGCAGGTTTGGGGAAGGGAGGCATGGTGATGCGGAATGTTGGAGGTTGTGGGAGAGGTGCGGTGATATATGGAACAAAGGGTCGCTGGTGTAAAGAGGATGTAGTGGTCAGTATTACAAAATAACGAACGAGGCTGAGCTTGGGGCGAACTGTTGCGGTGATGAGGATAACGGTATTGCTAGCGGTGAGCAATGAGCGATGAGCGGAGATTGTCGCGATGACATCGCAAACAGGAGCCAAAGGGTCTGCCCAATCGGCTTACTCGATTGAGGCCCTATTCTTAGGTTCAGCGTGATAATGAGAGACGAAGAGCTGTATATCAGTTGCGTCTATTGGAAGGGGTAGGATGAAATCAATTATTATATTGCGATTCGGTGCTATCGAAGCCGTGGGTGGAACCAAACCCTGTAATCAGTTCCTTTGATTATTTTTATCCGGCATTCCGTACCGAAGGCCATGCCGTGATATGTATCGCGCCCTTGAACGCCGATGACCCAGATGTTGTACAGTATATGCGAGAAAAGATCGTTGGTATCGCGTTTCGTTGAGCTAAAGATCAGGCTCACCAGGTCGTCGCGACCTGCGGGTATTCCTTCTTGCTGATCTTAAGGTCGTCATAAACAGAGTCGTCGCCTGGGACTTCATTAGCACACATCACATTTGCCAGCGCCTGAGTAACGTACCGTGAAGATGCTCGACGCGCAGCTCATCCTCATGTTCAAGCTTCTCAATCTCCTCTTGTGGAGTCTCCTTGTCATGCTTCTGGTCCTTGGTAGTCGGCTCCACGCCACTCTCCAACTTCTCTCCGATGAGCAAGATTTGGCAGTACTCATAATCAAGGTATTTCGGCTTGACTTCGACCCAAGCCAGTCCGCGGAACTCGTCGATGAACCTGGCAATGGTCAGTCATGAACAGGTAGTCACATCGGGACCACTTACTCCTTGGGAAAGTCGGGCTTCTGAGGAAGCTGCGCGGAAGCCGGACCGCTCCGCTCGGGGTTCTTGACGCTCATGACGAAGCTGCCCTGGTCCTTGATACCCAGGTCTTCCTGAACCTCTCCAAGCTCGGAAGGTATGGTGGTAGAGTATACGAGATGGCACGTCCGATCCTCAGTGCGTGTAATGGCATACACGCCCTCTGCTACTGGCGCCACAGGCTCGGTGCGTCGGCTGCCTTGTGTCTTCGTCTCGTACTCGTCGGCGCCAAAGAAGCTCTCCTTCAGTTCTTTGATGGAAGTGTTCGCCTTTTCGACAAATGCCATGAATTTATCATTGTGCGACTTGGGAAAGACCTTCTTGGGTAGCGCAAAGAGTCGGATGTTGTTGTCGTCAGCGAGAGCGCCGTCGCCTAGCTTGGCTCCGGATGGCATAGGACGGAGGACGAAGAAGGTGCGTTGAAGGTCGCCGACGCTTTCGGAATCCTCAACGCCGACGCGGTTGCGGGTGAAGAAGTAGATGACGCCCTTCTCGAGGATGTTGGATGGCATTTGCTTTGCGCGCTGGGAGGACTCCTCGATCGCGCCCTCACCGTCTGCGCCAGTCTCCTTTGCCGCGTTGTCCGCTTTATCCTCGCTCTTCTCTTCCTGTGTGATCTCTTCGGCCTTGGGAGCGGCGTCGGTGTCTTGTTCCGCCTGGTCGTCGGTAGTCGCCATGTCAGTTAATGCAGGCTTGTCGTCATCGCCATTGGCCAATGCTGTCGCGTCACTCGCGTCGACGAGGTCTTCCGCGGCCTTCTTCTCCGCCTCCTCTGCATCTTTGGAGTATTGACCCCCATCCGAGGCGTCCTTCATCTCGCTGTCAGACTCCTTGCTGGTGTCCATTGTCTCCTCGATAGTAGCTTGCTTCTTGGACGCTTTGCGATCGCGCTTGGGAGACGGCTCGACTTCGGGCTTGCGTTTGGTGCCGGCTGCGACATCGTTACCCTTTGCTGGGCTGGAGCCACCGTCGGTGCTGCGTGCAGAGGAGCGTGTGCCTGCCATTGTGGATGCAGTGAGGTCAATTGAGTGAACTGGTGTAGAATATTGAAGATATGAGTGAAAGGATGGGAGAAAGATGGGAGACAAAGTAAAGGAGTAATGAAGGAGGCGGATGTTTGCGCGCGCTCGCGGTTTGTGGCAGGCGCGTCGCGTGAAATGGTGACGTCAATGGCAGTCATTAGCACATCGACGCGTCAGGAAGGCACGTGCAGCATTGGACCATCAGAAGGAAGCCGCGAGCGGTCATGAGCGAGGATTTGAGAGCGCGTGAGATAGCGTCGCGCATGCACGCGCTTGATGTAGCAAACCTATCGAAGCTGATATACAAGGCCTTCGTATCGTACATCCTCTCATCGAGCGCACCCCGGTCCACGTAGACGAAGCCACAAACGACATTGCTTATTCGTACTTCTCGAGAAAGGCGTGAATGCCGTCGGCGATGCCCTCCGGACTTGGCTTCTCAGCGCATACATCAGGAGTGAAGCCAAACTCTTGCTTCAGATAATCGCGCGTGGTCGGACCGATGGTGCATATCAGGATGTCTCTCTGATCAGCAGTAGCCTTGGCTTTCCCAGTCTCCATATCCAGAAGACCCAGGCTCTCAAGCATGGCTTGACACCCACTTGGAGAGAACACAACGACCCACTGCCGTTTCGAGCCCTGATCTGTGTTGCTGCGCCAGATTGTCGAAAAGTCCTCCTTGAAAGACTGCATCTCTCCAGTCTCATATATAACCAACTCATCTACTCTTGCCCTCTCTTTTAGGTCCAACTCTTCTGACTGCAGGGTCTTTGGTATTATATCCCTCCTCTTGTCGCCGACCATGAACAGTACGGGCGGATTCGCAACACCTGGATAAAGGGCGTTGTAATGCTTCAAGATGAAGCCAGCCAGAGCTTCGCCGTTGCCGGTCTCTTCCCCCAGAATTGGACATTTGAGGCCCAGTGATCGCAGTCCGCGAGCTGTAGCTGGGCCTACTACGTACAGCGGCAGACTCTCTGGCAGCAGGTCGTCGATGTCGAGCGCTCCTTCTTTACGGATTTCTTCGACTACCTCGCTGAAGGCTTCGACTGCACGCTGCGAGGTGAAGATCAGCGCGCCATATGTCGCAAGACCCTGCTGCGCTTGTGGCACGAAGCCGCGATTGGTGACATGTTGGCGCACCTCACGCAGGGCATCTCGCTTGAACCTGTGCTCCAGGACGGGCACGAAGACGGGCGCATAGCTGCCGTCGTCGAGCTCAAGAAACAACTCTTCATACGTGTCTTTGGGCACTGATTTGGTCTTGAGCAGCAGAATAGGGATGCTGCCCCGCGATTGTTCCGCCATAGCCGTGGTTTGGTGTGTGCGTCTGGTGGTCGAGGCCCCGAGTGAAGGGTCAGGACTGCGGGCGGCACACTAGGCCGCCCGCTAAACATCGGGAAAAGTTGCCAGCATCCGTGGTTCACTCGAGACCCTCGAATTTAATAGTTGTCCTCCCACCGCCTGCACGCCTCGCCTGCACATTCACGACTCGGCGGTCTACCCAGATCTCGCAGACCTCTCTCCCCCGCTGCAACGCCCAGTCAACCCTCAACCCAATTGACTGCACAGCAAACATGGCCGACGTCGCAACTCCACCCGCCGCCCAGGCCTCGACCAACGGCGCTGCTGCCCCTCCGGCGAAGCAGCAGGTAGTCAAGCCCGACAAGCCCGACGAGGACAAGTACAAGGAGGAGCTCGCCAAGCTGGAGAAGGAGCACGCCGCCGCCCAGGAGAAGCTGGTAAGTACATGTCCCTGTGTGGTGCGCGCAGTCGCACGGCCACGAGCTGACGGGTGGCTGCATCGCACACCACCAGTCAATCCGGGAAAATTACTAACGACACCCAGAACGCGTGCAAGGCCAAGCTCGACCTCGCCAAGCCCAACAACAAGGACTCGCCCAACGCGAAGCGCCAGCAGGAGCTCAAGACGGAGCTCAACGCCATCCGCTCCACCCAGCAGGGCAACAAGTCCGGCCGCAACTCCATCTTCGAGAAGATCAAGAAGCTCGACGAGCAGCTTAAGCAGCAGCTCAACGAGCTCAAGACGGCCAAGGGCAAGTCCAACTACAAGTCGGCCGAGGATGTGGACCAGGAGATTGCCCGTCTGCAGAAGCAGGTCGACGGCGGCATGATGAAGCTCGTCGACGAGAAGAAGGCCCTGGCCGAGATCAGCGCCCTCAACAAGGCCAAGAAGAACTTCTCCGGCTTCGACTCTCAGCAGAAGAAGATCGACGACATCAAGGCCCAGATCGCCGAGCAGAAGAAGCTTCTTGACGATCCGGAGAACAAGGCCCTCTCCGAGAAGTACACCAAGCTCCAGACCGAGCTCGACGGACTCAAGGCTGAGCAAGACGAGGCCTTCAAGAACCTGAGGTCACTCCGTGAGGAGACCGACAAGGCGCGCGCAGTGCAGCAGGAGAAGTACCAGGCCCGCAAGGAGCTCAAGGACAACTACTTCCAGCAGCTCCGTGCGTTCAAGAACTACGAGTTCGAGGCGCGCAAGATCCGCAACGAGAAGAGGCGCCTCGAGCAGCTCCAGTACGTCGCCGGCAAGCGCAAGGAGACTGCTTCCAAGCGTCTCGAGGAAGCCAGCGCACCTGCCTACGGCGACGAGATCATTGCCTGCGAGGGCTTGATCCGCCACTTCGACCCCTCCGCACTCCCCGCGAAGGAGACCACCGCCGCCAGCAAGTTCGCCGCCTCCGCTCAGCGCACCGTCGACGACTCGGGCCTGAAGGGTACCCGCATATCGAAGAAGGACACCGAGGAGGAGAGCTACATGGCTGGTACTGGTGGCAAGAAGGGAAAGAAGGGCAAGAAGGGCGGCGCCGCTGCTAGCAAGTTCAACTTGAACATTGGTATCATCGAGGAACTCGCCAAGGTCGGTGTCGACCCCCCATCGAGCCAGGAGGAAGTCCCTGCCACCGTCGAGAAGCTCCAGGCCAAGCTTGCCCACTGGAAAGAGGACCAGGACCGCAAGACCAAGGAGGTGAGTCATTCTACCTACTACTGCGAGGATACTGCTAACGAGTCTTCAGAACATCGCCAAGGCACAGAAGGAGATTGACAAGCTTGAGGCTGAAGAAGCCGCAGAGGACGCCGCCAACGGCAGCACCGACGCCGCTCGCAAGCCCGCCCAGAAGAACCAGGCCGTCAACGGCGATGCTTCCCCCGAGGCTGAGCTCGCTCAGGAGAAGGACGCCGCAGCGGACGCTGCTGACGACCTCAAGAAGGCGTCGATTGAGGACAATGAGACCGCCGCCGACGCATAGAGTGCGCAGTGTCAAACGTTGTCACTAGGGGTGCTAGCCTCTTAAAATTTGGGTCATATTTCCGGGACATTGGCATGGTGTAGGATCTAGCCCACATCTTCATTTCTAGCTTGGGATCTTGGAATCGGTACATTGTCCGCTATTGTTACGAGATACCAGCATGGCATGGGACGGGGTCACGGAGTGGAGTACGATGTGTCTCATTTAGACGCGCAGCAGACCTAAAAGGTTAATATCACCATCTCATCTTCAATGCGTCGATCAAAGTGACATGTACCACTAAGCATCTAGAACTTGGTCATTAGCTCAAAGAAGCATGACATGACGCAAGACCCTGAACTACAGACTAGACCATCCGCAACAGGAGCCGGCGTCGGTGACAGCCAAAAGGAGTTACCCCACATACATAGCGGGGTGGATGTGGTTCCCAAACGCGTGGTGGTGGTACTGATGACATCATTGGCAAAGTCCTACAAAGTCGCGCGACATTCTCAGCTCCTCTCCCACACACTATCTGCTTAACGATAACTACCCATCCAAAGGTATGCTTTCCTCTCGTTTCCTTTCTCAGTGCATCGCAAGGACAGCGCGAAGGTCGCCTCGAACATTGTGCCTACAGAAGCTGACGCCTTCTCCCCAGCTACCAAACAACCACGCCGCTCAACGCGTATTCTCTACAACCACCATCACCATGTCTGGCTTCAGCAACACCGACACCGGCTCTAAGACCGCCGACCCCTACACGCAGAAGAACCTCGAGGAGCCCTCTCTCAAGGAGAAGTGCGAGGACCTGCTCAACTTCGTCGACAAGACCAAGTTCTGCCTGTTGACCACGCAGGCCGCAGACAGCGACCTCTTGGCCTCAAGAGCCATGGCTGTCGCTGCAAAGGTACTGTACACCCAATCGATGATCAAAGACAAGGCTGACAAGCAACAGGAGGGCCACGGCTTCGACCTCCTCTTCCACACCAACACCGAGTCCGGCAAGACGGACGACCTCAAGGAGCACAAGTCCGTCAACGTCGGCTTCATCAACAACTCAGGCGAGTGGGCCTCCATCTCCGGCCACGCCTCCATCGAGACAGACCGTGACGTTGTCCGCAAGCACTACTCTCCCGCGCTCAAGGCGTGGATTGGCGATCTTGGTGACGGCAAGCACGACGGTGGGCCCGAGGACCCGCGCATTGGCATCATCCGCGTCAAGGTCAGCACTGCACAGTACGCTGTGTCGAAGCGGACACAGATTGGCGGGCTTGTGGAGCTGGCGAAGGGTATTGCGACGGGTGAGGCGCCGAATGTTAATAAGCTGAGGCATCTTGATGAGGCCGAGATTCAGCAGTATAGGTCGCAGTAGATGGACATTGGAAGACTCATGATACTCCAAGAAAGGGGAAACAGATAGAACAATGATGACCAAGAAGTAATCAAATAATAAACATGCTTCCCACCACCATGTCCTTGTTGCATAGATGTGAGCTTGTGGGAGCTTGATGAAACTCAAAATGACGTCACACAAGCGCGTTCCATCCTGGTCCTTCCGCGTTAAACCTCGGCGCCTTGAACAACCCAAAGCATTCACCCACCAAACACCCGTCGCATCCCTCACAACCCCCCTCTGCGCATATACAATGGAAGACCCAGGTTTGTTGCCCCCTTCTCTCCAACCCTCCCTCCCCTCTCCCTCAACCGCGCGTCTTATTCGCTGACCAAGCCCTCCCATCGCAACAGTCAAAGAAATACCCGCCATCATCCACCTCCTCACGCAATCACCACCCTCCCTCCAACGCGCAACCATCGATAAATACTTCACACCCGACGCGGCGTTTTCGCATCCTTTTTGCCGCACATGGAGCCGACCGAATTCTAGGTGGTTGGTCGAGCGGACGTATCGCTGGTATAAGATTATGAGTCCGAGGATTGATTGTACGGTGCAGAGTGTTGGTACGTAATAACCCAGGGGTGGGCGGGGGAGGACCAGTGAAGAGTGCAATGACTGACTGAGAGAACCAGCATTCGACGAAACAAACCTCATTCTCTACGCAACCATCTTCCAAATCTTCCGGATTTGGTTTGTTCCGTTTTATTACGCGCCTGTTCGCCTCACTACCGTCCTCCACCTACGCAAATCCCCTTCCACCACCACCACCACCTCCTCCTCCTCCTCTCCGACAAAACCAAAATACCACATCTCCAAACAAGAAGACCTCTACCAAGTCGACCAATGGATCCGTTTCGTCGCGCCCGGCGCCTGGATGTTGATCTGGCTCTGGCAGGCGTGGGCCACGGTGTTTTGCGTCGCGGGCACTGTGCTGCTTTGGCCGGTAACGTGGATGGAGGAGAATTGGGGGTGGGGTGAGGGTGTGGGTATGGAGAGTGGGACGGGGTTGGTAAAGGGGTTTCGGATGGTAGGGAAGGGGGGGAAGGAGGGGGAGGTTAGGGTGGATGGGTTGGCGGAGGAGGAGGTGATGAAGAGGACGGAGTTGAGGGGGAGGATTGTGGGGTGAGATGAGGGGAGGTGAAGGGGAGGGGAGGGAAGGTGTGTGGTATGCACAGTTGGAGGGTTGCTTGATGGGTAGTGACTTGGGTGGATGGAATGGAATATAATGGATAGCAACAAGTATGGGATGATTCCACATAAACGTTATTTCGAAGAGCTGGAGTAGGCCGGCACATCTATCGCAGTTGCAATGTCCACTCGTGTAATATCGGACACTACTTCTTCCATGTAGAGGCAAGAGAGGTTTTAGATCCTCAGCTGACCCCCCCCCGCCACTGGGCCCTGGTCTTTACTCGATAATCTTATAAAGCTCGTGGTGAGCCGACGAGAACATATTGGGATGTACGATCTATATTGTTCGGAAGGAAAGAAAACTGGGTGCGAAATTATGATTCTCGCGTTATAGTAGGCCGGCGGGCGCTAAACGCACCACGTGAACACCCGTTTTCCTCCACGCGTCGCGTCGCCCAACCCACCTCCACCAAGCTACGATGCCCAACACCAACGAGACGCGAGACTTCCATCACCCATACACGCCCTACGACATCCAAAATGAGTTCATGGGCGCTGTCTACACGTGTCTGGAAGACGGCAAAGTCGGCATCTTCGAGTCGCCGACCGGAACCGGCAAATCGCTGAGCTTGATATGTGGCTCGATGACTTGGCTACGCGATCACAAGCGACGAACATTCGAAGAAGGCTTCTCAGTGGATGCAGCGAATAGTGAGGAGCCTTCGTGGATCGTTGAACACGCTCAGAAGCAGCGGAAGCAGGAGGCGCTGAGGCGTAAACAGGATCTGAACGACCGCATTGCTAAAATTAAAGCGAAAGAGAAGAGGGCGAAGGAACGGTATGAGAGCGACGAGCCCAAGTATAAGAGACAGAAGACTGCGGCAGGGGATATCGAGAATGGCGATGAAGCGCAGTTTGCTCTAGACGACTACGAAAGCGATGAGGAGACTCACAAACGAGCAAGAGCCGGCGCGTTTGACGAGTCTGGACTGTCGGCAGAGACCCAGGCTTTGATGGCATCACTCGGCTACAGCGCCGATGCACCAAAAGATGACGACGGAGAGGCGCCCGACGAGACGAAGATATTTTTCTGCTCCCGAACACACTCTCAGTTGACGCAATTCTCTAGCGAGCTGGGTCGCGTGAAGATGCCGCCCGCCATCGCCCCGGACGAGGCTGTAAGCGGTGGTGAAATAGACACGCTTGTAGAAGACGTGAAGCACCTTACTCTTGGATCAAGGAAGAATCTCTGCATCAACAGTAAAGTCAACAAGCTCGGTAGCGCTACGGCCATCAACGAACGATGTCTGGAGCTACAGCAAAACAGCAAGACTGAAAGCCGGTGTCCGCATATGCCGACCCAGGAAAGCGAGTCGTTGGTCAATGACTTTCGCGACCATGCGCTTGCGAAGATTAGAGATATCGAGGACTTGGGGGTGTTGGGTAAGAAGCTGGGTGTGTGTCCATACTATGCTTCTAGACCTGCTACCAGGTACTGCGAGGTGGGTCCGCTATTCAGTCCTACGATGTGTTCATGTACTAATAGGTTCAGATCGTAACGCTACCCTACCCACTACTTCTTCAACGCACAGCTCGTGAAGCACTTGGCCTCTCCCTCAAAAACCACATCGTCATCATTGACGAAGCGCACAACTTGATGGATGCCATTGCAGGCATCTACTCCGTATCCGTGACTCTCGATCAAGTACAACAAGCGCGTGCCCAGCTCACAGCCTACCTCCAGAAGTTTCGGAACAAGCTTAAAGGGAAGAATCGCGTGTATGTTGCCCAGACAGTCCGCATCTTGGACTCTATCATCGCGTATCTGCAATCCATCGATGCCAATACGAAAGCGGCAGACGGCCTGGCAGACATGGCTGCGATCATGTCTGGGAAAGGTGTTGACCAGATCAATATCTACAAACTCAACACGTACCTTCAAGAAAGCAGACTGGCGCGTAAAGTCGACGGATACACCGTCTTCGCTGAGCAAGCGGAGAATGGAAGCACGCAGAAGCTGGTCGCAAAGTCGGCCAAGAATAGCCCGCGACACACTGTACCAGTCCTGATGCATGTACAAGCCTTCCTCCTATCGTTGATGAACCCATCCAGCGAAGGCCGCTTCTTCTACGCGAAGGAAGAAGCCTCAGGGACTACGCTACGGTACATGCTCTTGGACCCAACCTACCACTTCAAAGACATCGTCGAAGAAGCAAGGGCCGTCGTACTAGCCGGCGGCACCATGTCGCCGATGAGCGACTACGAGCAGCATCTACTATCATACCTGGATCCCTCAAAGATCATGACACTGTCCTGCGGCCACGTCATCCCGCCCTCGAACCTCCTCGCTGCACCCATCGTCCGAGCCACAAGCGGCGCTGAATTCGACTTCACATTCGAGAACCGCAACAAAGAGAAAACGATGATCGATCTCGGCAACGCCATCCTGACATTTGCGCAACACATCCCCGATGGCGTAGTAGTCTTCTTCCCCAGCTACTCCTTCCTCGACGCCTGCATCTTAGCCTGGAAGCGCATCAAGCCCGCTTCTTCAACATCCACATCCACATTCTGGGACAGCTTCACCCGCACAAAGCCCGTCTTCCTCGAGCAGCGCAGCCAACAACCACCGTCGTCCAACCAGCCCCCCTCAGCATCCAAAGAAGCAACCGCAAACTCCGTCCTCACAGCCTACAGCACCGCAATCGCATCCGGCTCCGGCCGCGGCGCCCTCCTCTTCGCCGTAATCGGCGGCACCCTCTCCGAAGGCATCAATTTCAGTGACGCCCTCGGCCGTGGCGTCGTCGTCGTTGGTCTCCCGTTTCCTAATCCACATTCTGCGGAATGGAAGGCGAAAATGCAGTATATCTCCGCTAAACAAGCGAAAAGCGGCGGTGGCGACGGCAAGGCTGCTGCGCGCGAGTTCTACGAGAATGCGTGCATGCGCGCTGTTAATCAGTGTGTGGGCAGGGCGATTAGACATAAAGGTGATTATGCGGCGATTTTGTTGTTGGATAGACGGTATGGGAGTAGGAGGATTCAGGATAAGCTGCCGAAGTGGATTAGGGGGAGTTTGACGGGGGGGTTGGGGGTAAGGGATGTTGGGGGAGCGTTGGATGGGTTTTTTGCGGGGAAGGTGTAAGCGGCTATCCGCGCGGCCGTAACAGTATAACTAAAATATGGTTTTCGTTGCCAGACTTCATTGCGATGTGATGTCCATGATGCGTGTGGCCTTGATGAGTGTGATTGTGTATTGTGGGGTATTCAGCGACTAATCCGGTTTAGATCGGACGCGAGCACCGTCTCACTTTCCCGTGGTCGCGAACGCGTGTCTTCATCTCCAATCTCATCAACTCACGACCCAGATCTCAGATTTCCAGGCAATACCGCGCCGCCATGGACACAACACGTATTCCGACCATGCCATGAACGTGCGCACAGGATATAGCAGCAAGAGACTTTGATCGCCGTGACGGGTCCCAATCAAGTGAATAGGACCACCAAGCACCAAGAGAGCATAACCAAGGAACACCGATCGAACAACTCAATTCAAGATGGCTTCATCTTGGCGACAGAATGGTGAAGAGCGGGGTGCCTACACGACTGTTGCGCAGACCGAGACTGCAAGTGCAAACCTCACAGTACACGGCAAAGACATCGCAAACGAAGAAGTGGATGCCGAATCATTCAAAGCGCCTGTGCATATTGGCTCCATACCGACAGCAGAGGATCTGCTATTTCTGCCTCGCGTAGCGGATACGTTGCCATATGGCGCTTTCCTAGTCGCCGTTGTTGAGCTTTGTGAGCGCTTCGCCTACTACGGACTCTCCGGGCCCTTCCAAAAC